AGCCCGGGGCCCGGCGCGCCCCTCCCTGCCGGCTCCAACGTTCCGCTGTTGCATGGGGCGCCGCCGGCGGCCGAGGGAGCGTGACTGCGCTGCGCAGGGCGCTAGGAGGCATTGTCGCCGTAAGTGGAGCAGAAAGCAGCCTGGAACGGGGCCCCGCGCTTCGTGCCCCGCAAAGTAAACGTAGTTTGAGGCTAAGCTCTGGAGGGGCTGGGGGAGAGAGGGAGAGAAGTGTCCCCGTTTCTGCAGCGTACCCTCCCCTCCCCCAGGTCACCCGGTGTAGAGCAGCGGTGCACCAGCTGCGGCTTCTGCAGTGCCCAGGGTCCCGGCGCCGCACCCGTTCTTGCTTGCAGACTGCATCTGGACCCGGGCAGGCTCGGGGTAGTGGGCGCAGAGGTGCCAGGGAATAGGAAGCTCGGGGACGTGGTCCCGAGCGGGCCTCCATTCCCTGCGGAAGGGTCCCCTGTTGGGAGCAGCTGTATTTCGTCCCTGAAGCGACACTTTCGGGGTTTGCTTCCGCTCTGGGGAGCTGCACACGCCTCCCGCATACGCCTGGCAGCGCGCGAGTCCCCGGACCTTAGTGATCACAGCATTCTCTCCTGTTCCTGCTTTATTCCCTCCAGTCCCCGCCTGCCGGGAGAGCGGAGGGCAGGCAACCAGGAGCCATTGGCTGCGGGTGCCGCGGGGTGGGGTGAGGCGGGCCCCTTGCTCCAGACGCGGGTACCCTGGCCTTCTCCACCCCACTCGGTCCTGAGAGGCGCAGCCGAAAGGTTTTTAGATGCTCATAGGGAAGCGCGAGAGTGCGCTGCGAACCCCGTGGTTCAGAAACAAGGCGCCAGCCGGTCCTGCTCACGCCCCAGCGGGCTCCTTTCCTTTAGGTAGGAAACTGGGTCAACTCTATTCTGGCCTCGTGGGGGCCTTCGGAGCCACTTGGGTATGATCCAGCCCGCCGGCTCTCACCTCCCCATCAGCTTCCCTGCTTGGCGTGGTCCGGAGGATCCGCGGGAGCCAGCGATGGGAGAGCTTGTACACATGGCTCAGGAGGCTCGAGTTGTCCTTCGGAGCAGCTGCCAGGCTCTAAAGTTCCCAAATGACCACACAAGTAACTAAATATAGGAGCAGCTGGTGCGGACGGGGGTGTGCAGCAGCTCCTTTGCACAGATCTCTGGCTTCCAGATAAGGTAGAGTTCTCACTGGTGAGGGCAGGAGCCGTGGCAGGGGTCTGCCTTCAGGGTTTGAGCAAAAATCACCCCCTCCCAGCATCGTATCAGGTAAAACCAGATTACAGATAAAGAAGGGCCTTATTGACAGCTCTCACAAAGCAGGACACTTTTTTTTTCCCCTCTGGCATTTAGTTGATCATATCCTAACTTATTGGCAATGCCTTGTGTGGGAAGTGCTTAACGGTTTGCAAAGACCCCAAAAGTTCTATAATTTACTTCTAAAACCAACCTAGTGAGGAACATGGTATATTTATTTTGCAAATGGGACTGCTCACAACACTGATGACTTTCCAGAACTCTGGTTGGGTTAGGCTGCTCACCTCAAAAAACCTTCCATAACTCCCTGCAGAGAAACGGAGGACAGACGTACAGGAGGGCCGCCAGCTCCTTCCCCTAGAAATCGGGACACACTGACTGCCTGTCTCCCTCTATCATCATTTGGGGTATCCCTGCTCAGCCCTTGTCTCTGTTCCCTCCTCCCAGCCATGCCATGTGCCTTCATCGCAGAGGGAACACATGCTCCTTGGGCCTGGTGTCATGTTCCTACTAGCGCCTGGCTCATTTTGCCTCTTGTCACTGAGTCTCTCTTACCCAATGGGAAACTCATTCTGGCCCATGCCCTGTCTCTGTACCTTGGCTTCCTCAGTATATCTCTTGTAGGAGGTGCCGGAGAGATGTCTATTGGATTTCAACATTTCCTGGGACTATGATACACATTCTGAGGAAAGGGGAGTTGGGCGTGTATGGAGAGGGATAAGTGTTGTTGGGACAGCAGCAGTGTGGATACAAATTTGGACCCTGTGCCTAATGGTGTCCAGGATTTGGAGCACTTTTCTTAAAATTATCTAAGTCTGCCCTTTAGTTCCCGGGCCCAGCTGGAATCAGCAGAGCCATGGGGTTGGGATGCTCCTGTGGTTTCTGTTTCTCTCTTTTAGGACACTCTCTGACTTTCTGCTACCACTACCCCTGCTTGTAAGGTTGACCAAATGCCTTAGAGAGCCCAGAACTTGGGCCTGTGGAGTTGTCTTAGGCCCTGTGTTTGGGTTCCGATTCCAGGAGGACTGCCTTGCATGCCGATTGCTCCCACCGGCCAGCATGATATTTCTTTCATGGGGACTGTGTGAGATTGAGCAGCCAGAATGGTGCTGACATGCTGGTTTTGGTTGACTCAAATTGTTTATATAGGGGTTCTGCATTCCTAGGGGTGGCGCTGCCTATGGGGATTTGCACACAGTCAGAAGTGGGTCCATAGCTCTCTTTGTCACTTATGTGTGACTCAGACAGTTTTTCACTTTCCCCAAAGACAGTTTAAAACAAAAGAAAGAAGAGCAAGCTTTCTTTATTTTCTCTTCCCTCCCCGCACCTTTTTCTCTGGGCTCCTGTTACATGCTAAATAAATTCTTCCTTTTTTTTTTGTCAAAGAGGCCAAGGATTGGGTTGAGGCTGAAGGGAGCAGTCAGTGAAGTTGGACAACTTTGTAGGAACCCTTTTGGGGACCCACTCCAGACTCCTATCATCTCAGGTTTATTTTTCCCCCAATTCTAGGGTTGTCTTACTCCATCTTGGGTCCTATACCACATGGAGACTGACCATCCCCCATTTCACAGCCCCACCTGTGCCAAAGAGTGACAGGCCTTTGCCATCTGACCTGGGAGAGGGATTGTCATCTGGACTTTATGAAGGAATCCTCCTTTGGTGGCAGTGTAGTTTTAGGTAAAGAGTGGGTAATTTCCTAGCCAGTTAGCAAGGGTGATGATTTTAGTCAGAAGGAACCTCTTGGGGATCTAGTGTGCATCTGTGCTGTACCCAGAATATCCTCTGGAATGTAACTTGCTCCTCCTAGTGACTTGCACTGACTCCCAGACTTTACAGGTTGCTCCTGTTCCTGCTTCGGATTCCATTCTCTGACCATTCCCTGACCCACACCATAGGGCATCTGACTGAGCTTGCCATCAGGGGTGAGGTTTTTAATCTAACTAATTTTCATCAGTGGGCTCTATGGCCTAGGCATCCCCACCCCCACCCCACCTGGTGGCAGATAGCAGAATTGCAGGCATAGTGTGAAAGCAGCCTAGACAATCGCACTAGGGTTAGCACAGACTCTGGGCAGCTTGGAGATTTACCTTCCCTTTCCCTAATACTGTGAGGCTAGGAATGCCTCTGTGATGTTGTTTAGAAAGCTATTCCTCATCAGAACCATGAATCAGAGTTATTGCCTGTATTCTTTCTTTATTCTTATGCCCTATACCTAGTACATGCTCAATACATGTTTGTGATTGTTGATGATAAATATTAGAGATGGGGAAAGGAGGGAGTATGGTATGGTAGGAAGACCTGGTTTAAGAGTTAGAAGACCTAGGTTTTTTGTTTTCATTTGTCTGGTTTGTTTCCCTTCTTGGGTCCTCAGTTTTTTCACTTATAAAGGGATTAGACTAAGTCATAAAGATTCCAGCAACATTGTTGTGACTCCGGCTTAGGGGGATGATCTTAAAGGTAGCATGGTGAAGGTTTTGGGTCCAGTTTGCCATAGTCCTTACTCTTCCCTACTGTCCTATCCTGGCCCACTTTGTGCAGGTTGCCCACCTGGCACCATTAGGCATTTAAATCTATGACCCTTCTCATTTAGACAGTGCCTTAGATTTGTTGAGTCAATTGAGTTGTATTTAGATTTGAAACCCAAATGATGGCTATTCATCATTATCTCCATTGGAGGGTACTAACTGCGTATCTATTTTTATTATGTGGTATAAAGTGCAGAAGAAAAACATAGTATAGATCTGCTCCCTGCCCTGAGCTGCCTGTAGGCCAGCTGGGGAGACAAATATGTATGTTTTAAAAAGCTTATAAACAACTCATTAGTGCTACTAAACTGAGGGAGGAGAAAACACTGAGACCTGGGGCAATCAGGGAAGACTTCCTGGAGGTAGAAAGACAGAAATTCTACTCATTCCTCAAAGATGATTCCACTGAGATGTTTGTTCAAAGTCACATGGGTATGAAATGGGATTAGATGCTGGCATCATGTCTGCACCTTTATTGTCTTATCCTCTCAACTGTCATTTATTGTGCACCTATGTGTCCTGGGCTCTGGACGAGAAAGATTTATATATTTTGTTCATTCCTTGTATGAACCCAGCAAGGTAGGTATTTTATTACTAGATCTACTCAGATGAGGAAACTGGGGCTCAGAATAGTTAAGACACTTTTCCAAAGCTTCTCAACTAATAAATGGCAGAGTTAGGCATTAGACCTGTCCTCAAAAAACAGTCTTTTCCCCACTGTATCATGTGTCTCACACCTTCAGTGTCAGCCTCCTTGGTGAGATGCACATACCTACTGAACTCTCCCGTAAGCAGAAGGGTAGGCTTGGCTGGTCTCCACTCAGCCTTGCCTGCCTTGCCTGTCAAGCCGAGCACATGGAGACTTTTTCTAGGCATTTGTTAGCAGCTCTGAGTAATACCCTCACCTCCTTTTTCTCTACCCTTTACATTCTTCTGCCTTTGACCCTCAGAGTGAGTTCATTGGAGCTCCTTGGGCTGTGTGCGAACTGGGATTGGGATCTGTGGGCAAAGAAAGGCATTGGCATTAGCCTCAAGTTTATTCTCTCTGTGGGGTGCTGCTGCTGGTGGTGTGGGTGACTTGTAAAGAAGTGAGCACTGAATATGGAGCTCAGGTGAGCTGATTATTGCCGCTTACTCACTTTGACCTTCGCCAGGTCATTTAGTCGCTCTCTATGTCTGTTTCCTTCTCTAATAAACAAGGAGTTGGCAGCATTTTTAGAGTCCCTTATGTCTTTAACACTTCATAATTTTAATTGTGTTCTTCATCCTTCTTTAAGCGTATTCTCCCTTAGTGATCCAATTTCCTTTCTCCCATTTTCTTACCCCATCTCCTTCTTCCATTGGGGTCTCGCAGATAAATTCAGCATCAGGCTAATAACCAGGTCCGTAGGCTAAAACGATAACCTTTTCTCCATATTGATACATGGGAAAGGAATTCTTAGGGTCCACCCACCCATCACACTGTGAGCTCTGACCAGGCAAGGCTGTGTTTCATTTGCCTTGGTATCCCTACTTCCAGACATACAAGAGGAGCCTGGCAGAAGTGAGGGGGCGAACGGGGAGCTGGAGGAACTGTCTTGGGGGTTTGTGGATAGGGCGCTGGCTCCAAGGCTGTGAGATGGAGGGACAAGTATTTTTTTCCTTGCAGTTGGCTGTGCCCCACCTCCTCCTCAGTGCCCCGCCTATTAAGTGAGTCACAGGCCAGTGCGCACCTGAGTCCTTACACCCGCCTGGCCACTGAATCAGGCCTTGGCTCTGTGTCTGGTGAGGTCTCACGTGCCAGTCCTCCCAGGAAACCAGTAGGGCCGGGCTGCCTCACCCTCTGATGGGCAGATCAGCTGTTCCGAAGGCCAAGCTGGATGTGGCCTGGGCTCTGGGCCCTGCAAGAGGAGGTGAGTGGCCTGGGGCCCTCCCTGCAGGCTTCTAGCAGCCTGGGTTCCTGGGGAGGGTGGATACAGAGGTGGGTCCCTGTCCGGTGGGCGGGCACTTCACAGCCCTGTGTCTTCCCTAGGCGCAGGCCCACCTCGTGAGCAGCAGACCAGCCTGGTGGCTGGCAGCAGGACGTCCGCGTCTGCATGCTGAGAAAGATGGGTGAGGCGGTGGCCAGAGTTGCAAGGAAGGTCAACGAGACGGTGGAGAGCGGCTCTGACACCTTGGGTGAGTGAGGACATGGATTTCCAACTGCAGGGTGCCCCAGAAGTGATTCGTGAAATCATTTCGGAAATGAAATAGGAAGAGAAGATGAAAAAGACAATTTGGCACCCCTTGTCTTGAGGAGCAGTGTTTTATGGAACTTTTATTTCAGTTGTGTTTAGTTTGTGTGTTTACTGGGTCCCAGTGTAAAACTTACTATGGGTCATAGTCACAGAGGTTTGAAAAACACTAAGTGAGGGGTTTCAGCTGCCGGGAGCCTGTCTGCCTGCCCTAGGACTGCGGATGACTCTGAGTGAATATGTTCCCTTGGACCACGTGACAATAGCTGGCACTGCTGAGTCGTCCCATGTCCCAGGCCCTGTGCCGGTGCGTGAGTGTTGCCTTATTGGATCTTTACAACCTGCCTCTGATGGATGATCCTTTCCAGGCCTTGACTAGCCACGGTCTTCAGATGAGGAGATGAAGAGTCCAAGGGAAAGTAGGCTTTTTCTTGGTATCCCAGCTAGGAAGCCCCTTTTTACTTAGTGTTTCACTTGAATTTTATCTTATATATATTTTTGCTTTGAACTGGTCATAGCATAGGTAAATATCTGGTGGATTGACTATCTGGCCATGTGCAAGGATTAGCAGTGCATACAGTGCAATTACGTGTGCGCGCGCGCACATGTGTGTCTCACCCACCGGATTGTAAATGGCATCTTAGAGCCAGAAGTGTGTTGTAGGAACCCAGAGGAGGGGAGCACCATCCTGCCTTGGGGGTGATTGTGCAGGTGGACAGAGTGGGATTTGAGTCGGGCCTTTGGCACACAGAGAGGAATTTCACAGGCAGGTAGGGATGTGTGTACCTGTCTTTCTGTAGGGATGTGTCTGTATCTGTCTTTCTGTCTTACAAAGGAGCATTTCTGTAAAGGCCTCTGCCTGAGCAAAGGCTCAATAACTGGAAACATAGAGTGTTTCTCTGGTCAGGGTGTGTCTGGAATGTAGGCTTCTAGGGCAGGGGGTGGTGGCCCAGGAAGTGGAGGAACACTCAGCTTTCAAAATGAGCACGATCAGCCCCTCTTCCAGGAAGCCCTACCTTGTCCACTCCCTGCTCCCTTCCTTCTCTGTAGCACTCCTTCAGTGTCCTTAGAGGGCAGGGATCCTGCGGTCTTTTACCCTCTCACCCCCAAGAGGCAGAATAGGGTCTGGCACTTTATAAGCACCTGGGGGTGTTTGCTGAGCCTCTGAGCTAAGGTAAGAGGAGCATCTCCTCTATCAGCAATCAAACTTAGAGATTGTCATTGGTTTTGGAGGGAAGGCTCTGGGAGGAGCCTTCAGATGATGAGTAAAGGAATTCCAGAACCCAGTGTTGGTCACTAATATGGTTGTACTCACCCCAGTGCTCAGGGCTCTCCACCACTAATATGTGGCCATTTGAGAGAGGATTCCCGGAGGCAGCAGTGAGGAGGCAGGTGTCCCAGGCAGGGGTAGAGCTGCACCTTAGCTGGAGGAAGGGCCACTGCAAAGATGCTGCTTGGCATAGGGAGGTGATGAGAAATGGCATTTGGCAGATGGAGAGCCTGGAAGACTGTGTTGAGTCTAGGAGTCTAGACTTCAATGTCAAAGGACCAGGGATGGCAAATTCAGTCGCCTCAGCAGGCCAGGTAGGGATTTCTGTAAACTGAAGACTGGACGCCCCACCTGTAGTGAAAAAAACGCGGGCTGTGACCAGCTCCTCTGCACTGCCTGGGGGCCATGCCCATTGAGGAACCTAAACCAGGCCTCCGGCTGCCCTTCTAGACCACCATAGTACCTGGGACTAGAATCCTGCCTGTTTGACACCAAAGCCTAGGTCCTGTCCTCATTATGCTCCCCTGGGGTTGGGGGCAGATGGTTGGTGAATGCCAGGGTTGTGAGCACAGCGAAGGTCTAGTCACCTTGGGAGAGGACTTAAACCCTTTAGCCATGGTAGTCCTGGCCAAAGCTCAAGACTTTCATGTGTCATGTGGTGGTGACGGGGGCTGGATGATAGGGGTTTGGTTTTTCTACCTCTTCAGTACCCAGAGAAGCAGCAAAATATCAGACTAGGCCACTGTGGGTGCCTGCAGTCCTGACCCTTGGCAGATGGAGTTTATTAGGCCCCTATAATCTGAGGGGTCTCAGGCTTAAACAATTAGTACATATTGAGCACCTACTGTATGCAAGGTGCTAGGGGCTCTCAGGGCTATGTGCAAGAGTCCTGGACCTGAGACTAACCCACCACAGTGAGAGAGAGAGCAGTGAGTGACACACAGCTCCATGCCTAGCCATGTCGGACAGACCATAGGTGGTCGTACCTCAGAGGTGAGAGAAGTTACTGGGTGTCAAAGTAGTCCAGGAAGGGTTTCTAGAGGAAGTGGGAATTGAAGTGGGTCTTGAAAGATGGGTGAGGTAATTCAATATGGTTCTCATGTAAAATAACAAACAATCTGAAGCAGCCTAAACAACCAGCACCACAAAACTGCTTAAATAAATTTTGTTACAACTATACAGTGCAATTTATGTTGCCATTAACGGTGGTGCACAAAATTTCATCATATGCTTGAATGAAGACTGGCAAATTCCCATGTATAACATAAATTGGAAAGAAATAAACACAAGGATCCCAAACTATATACATAATAAGATGCTAATTATGTTAAACATGTATATGTACTTAGAAAAAAATTGGAAGGAAATAAAACAAGATGCAAATGGAAGTTATAAAATACTGTTCCGCATTTTTGGAATGTTCTGTGATGAACATATTGCCTTTATAAGCAGAGAAGAATAAGTTTTAGGGGAAGGACCACCTGCCACTACAGACGGTAGAAGTAAAACACATTTCCTAACAGACAAGAGTGACCCAGTTAGTGCCTTCTCCAAACCCCTGGCCCTGAGAATGGAACGGGCTCTCCTCCGTGTCTCTTGTGTGCAGCCCTGGGGCGCAGGCCCAATGGGATGGCTGTGGAGCAGCCACAGGGGTCTCACTGCAGAGTGGGCTGGGAAGAGCTCAGTTACAAGCTGGCTCTCACCTTGCTCAGAGAAGTAACCGTGGTGCGCATCCCTCGCCCCACCCCACCCCCACCCCAGGCACTCGTGGGTGCGCCTCCCGAGCCAGGCTTGCCCCTCCTGCAATCCGAGCTTTGGATCCTAGCCCTTGTCACCCTGCTCCAGGCCTCTTTATTTCCTCTCACCCCAACCCCGCTCCGATAAGTGGGCTCCTTTCCACCTGGCCCTGGTCTGTCCTTCAGCTCGAATTGAAGCCTCTTTCCACTAGCCCTTCACCTCTCCTAAGCATCATCTTAACTCTTCCAACGAGTTGGTGGAGTCAGGGACTCTGCATTTCAAAAATGCTGTCCTCTCTGTTTTCCCCTTCTCTCCCCAAGTTAGCTCTTTCTCTTTGTAAATACCCCATGCCTATCCAGGCTTCCCTCGGTCCCTCTCACCCTTGAGGGCCCTCTCTCTGACCTCGCCCTTCCCTCCCTGGCCTCAGACAACAGTATATCCAGCCAGTAGGCTGCCAGGCCAGGCTGCTCCGCACCCCAAGCCTCTCCAGGGGAGAGACTCACAGATCTGCTGTGTGTTTGGGGGGTGACTTTAAAAAAAAAACAATTATTACTGCAGCAGAGTAGGATTTGGAAAGGCCTGGGAGAGTGTAGGAAGGGAGGGCACAGCTAGCTGGAATAGAGGCTGCAGCAGATATGGGAAGCAGGAAAGACCAGCCTGGATTGGGAAGGAGAGGAGCCAGCATTGATCTGGGACCTGCTGCATGTCAGGGCTCAAACGTTTGATATCTCTTTCCTTCCTTTCTATAGTCTTTTGTACTTTCTGACTCAGGATTCCTGTCTGTGTTCATTTCTAAAAACTTCTGAGCCATTAGCTCTTGGCACGTTGCTCTCCCCATCCCTCGAAGCTGTGTATTTTCTTTCTCTTTTTGTGCTGTGTGCTGAATTTCCTCAGATCATTGTAAGCATTTTACTGGTTTGAATTCATTTAATCTTCACAACAACCCTGTGACTCAGGTGATATTTATATCCCTGTTTTACAGATGGAGAGACTAAGGCATGGAACATTTTTTCTCCAGTGTTTCTAAGTGTTTTGTTTCATAGCGCGAGAGTATCCAGCTGACAAGGGCCATGTTGCTTCTGGAGTAAGAGTTGCCCCATCTTATAGATACTGGAGCTAAGGCTGAGGGTGTGAGTGATTTGCTCGCGACACAGCTGTTTAGAGGTGGAGTCAGGGTTCATTACAGGTGTGTGTGGCACCTAGTCCTGCCTTTCCAGACTCACCCTGCTGACCCCATGAGGGGTGGAGGAAGGAGACCTGAGCAACTCGAAGCTCCCTCTTCCCACCTTTACACTTGCCTCTCCCCTCACGCTGTGGTTGATAGCCTCTTGGAATCACAGTTGCCCTACCCCATTCCTTGAAAAGGGGGAAAATAATCAGAAGCTAATATCTGCCTGGTCATTTAAGATGTCTTAGGTAGAAGCGAGAAGGTAGGACAGACCCCCATGGAGCAAATGTCCCTGTCAGTTCCTCATCTTTTGCACAGCTTCCTCAAGGTGGGTTTGGTGTAACTGCTCAGGGTAATGGGATACTGGTTAAAGATGCATCCTCATGGGCTCTACTCCAGAGCTTCGAAAAAAGAATCTCTGGGGGTGGGGCATGGTGATCTGCATTTTATTTATTTACTTTATACTTTAAACTTATTTTTATTTATTTTCAATTACAGTTGACATTTGGTATTATTATATATTAGTTTCAGGTGGATAGCATAGTGGTTAGACATTTATATGATTTATGATGTGACTTCTCCGTTAAGTCTAGTACCGACCTGGCACCATATATAGTTATTACAATATTATGGACTCTGTTCCCTATGCTGTACTTTACATCCCATGACTAGTCTGTAACTGCCAATTCACACTTCTTACTCCGTTCACCTTTTCATCCAGTCATCCTACCCCACCTCCCATCTGGCAACTATCAATTTGTTCTCTGTA